TGTATTTGGGTAAGTTTCGTATATTTGAAAGAGTAACTTTTATTAAAGAGAGAGATCTACGTTTTTTTAAAAAAAAATAGTCTAGAAATTGTTACTAGAAATTCACACGAATGTGAGGTTATATGTGCGTGAATATATGTATATTCTACAATAATTACATTTTTATTATAAAACATATATAACTTGGTAACTTCTCAAATTCGTTATTACAATCAAATTCATTATTACACTAATCTTTTTAGCACCTATGTACGTACAAGAATGGAAGATGATCATACATATGGTTCACACATAGAGTTGCCAACCGTCCGGTTTTGACCCGGACTGTCAGGTTTTCAGGAGTCTTGTCCGGTGTCCGGTTGACAAGTCAAACCGGACGTCATATGTCCGATTTGTAAGTACACCCAAATAATAAAGTCAAATTTAGAGCGCCATAAAAAGTTACGTAACAGACCGTCCAATTTTCATTCAAAAAGTGCACTCAAGTGCATCTAGGGGTGCGTTCCGTTTCTCGCATGATGCGCATAATGCATCGTTTATCCTTGTTGCTCACCAAATGTTAAACAAGGACAATGGATGCATCATGCACATCATGCGCGATACGAAACGCACCTTAGATATCATGTAGAACGGCTATAAAAGACCAAATATCGGTAATAATTATTCGATTGTTGTTTTCTAATAATAATATTATAAAGTTGATTATTTCCCGTAATCTGCCAGCAGTTCATTTTAATTCGTGATCTCAATATTCTTTCGTTTTAAAGTGAAAAGTAATTGAGATTAACACTTGCTTTTGATATACATATGTGTAAAGGTTAGATTAGGATATCAATTCGAATCTTTAACACACGGATTTATTAGCATTGTTTGAAATTTCCCAAAATTTTTAAACGAGGTAAATATATATACATATTCGGATATTGTAGAGAGAGAAAGCAAAGGTAATTATTGTAATTTCTTACAAAATTTTGTATTTAATCTAATTTTATGATTATTTTTATGTTCGGTTTTGTCCGGTTCGATTTTGTTTCCAAAAATGAAATTTTCGGTAATTTACACTTTTGAATCTGGCAACCCTATAATCACACAATGTATTCTCTTTGAATGACATTGAATCAGAAACAAATATAAGTAATAAAAATGTTAATGAAAATATAGCTTCAAACGAAGGGGATGCTTTATTAATTGATTTAGTTAGAGGATATCCTCATTTGTATGATAAAACATCGCCTAATTTTAAAGATTCTTTAATGAAAGAGAATTCATGGGAAGAAATAGCAAAAATCATGGCATGGACACGTAAGTAAAGTTTTTTAATCATTCTATTTTTATTATTTCAAGTTTTTTAGGGATAAGAAGTAACTAATGCTATTACATTTTTTTTCTATAATAACAATGTGGTAATGACTGTAATTTTTTATGATGGTAATGATAACTAGGGCTGCGTTTGAAATTGACGCTGACGCACTGTAAGCTTTATTTTATCTTCTTTTTATGAGTAATATAAATTATAAAATGACTTATAAATGATAAAGATAGAAATTTACAACACATGGAGCGTCAATTTCAAAAGCAGCCCTATAAGATTAGAAAACATTTACATTTGAAAAGTAAATAGTCACTATATTACATATTATTTATTGGAAAAAGTAACTCATTTGTAACGGATCAATGCGTTACTTTAACTTATTACTTCAACTGGTTAAAAGTGACAAGTTATTTTTTTCCTATTAACAATCCATAATGGTGACAAGTTACTTTATACAAAACTGCATTGTCAATGTATACATATGTAACATCAAATTGTTATTATGAAAAGTATCGGTAAAAATATTGACTTATTGGTGAAAAAATTGAGAGGGTCCCTTTAGCGCACGTCCCGATAGCACACAATCCACTCACAGCGTCCGGTGCCTAGAGACTGTTCAAGCTGTGATTGGCTTGTGTGCTATCGAGACGTATGCTATCGGAACCATCTTAAAAAATTGTCATTGAAATTTTGCTGAAATATCAATTTCAGCAAAATTTCAGTTAATACGATTCCAATTACAATTTTAATATTTGATACTGTTGCTTGACGTAGCTAATAAATGTCAAAATTGGTGGATCAGAGAAGATTAAGAAAAAGATTTTCTAAAGAAAGAAGAGAGATTGAAGCAGAATCAACAAGTGGAAGCGGAGCATCTAATCGGCAATCCTTTATTTTTTATGAAAATATGAAATTTTTGAATAACCATGTACTACGAAGAAGGTAACTTAAAAATTAAAGAACTTTTATGTAATACAATATATTAATTAATATTTAACATTAATTTTTCTGATACGAATTTGGATCAATGAAAATAAATTTCATTAAATAAGAAAAAATCCTATATTCGATAAAAACGAATCTTAGCGCTTAAATATTTCTGTGTGAATTTACATTATGCATATTTAATTCTGCAAACCATGCGCCGAAATCTTTCTGGATCTTGAAACGCAATCATGTGTCATCAGAATATCATTTAAAATTGATAAGCAAATTAAAAATTTAATGCTAATAAGCATCTTTATAAGGATATTACTTAATCTGATGTTAATGTGAAAATCTTAAATCTATGAATAATTTCCTGCTAAAAATATTACCTCAGTTAAAAAAAATATTTCAGCACGTGATTTGCAGAATTAGATATACACAGAAATATTTAAAAATTAGGTCTGCTTTGATCGAATATAGAATTTCTCCTATTTAATTAGATAACTTTTTTTGTTATTATAGGACTGTTTCAAATATTTTACAAAATAAGAAAAATAAGGAAAATATTCCCAGAACTTCGCCAGCTTTATCCAATTTATCAAACAATAATAGTAATATTATTTCCATCGCTTCGAAATATCGTCCGATTTTGCCACATTCATATACAGAATTTACAGTTAAAATAAAACCATCTGAAAATCTTCAACTGCTTAATGACATGGAAATGAATAACACAATACGGTCACAATTTGAATCAACTGCATTTGAAACAACAATAAAACCAGAAAGATGTTCTTCAGGATCTTCTGCATCACGAGATCTTTGTACTTCTACATCACCAATTATTCGACATCGTGAAAAAAATGATATTATAAATATTTCCACTCCTAGGAAAAAACAAAAATCGGAATCGGATGAAATCGAAAAATCATTTTTGTCATTATCTGCCGTAATTTCAGATAAACTGCAAAATTCAAATAGACAAACGATTTTAAATAAAGGTAAAAAGGATGCAGAAGATAAGTTTGTAGACCTAGTAGTTACAGAGTTAAGAAACATGTCAGAAATGGAACGTAAGGAAAAAAAAAGAAAAATAATGGATATTTTATGGATTTAAAGATATAAAAAATTTTCTATTTTATATTGTAAATATCAATGGATATTATGTTTAAAAAAAAGTTAAGATTTTTTCTATTAATATCATTATAAAGAATATGTGCAATCTGTTGTGTGAAAGAAAAGTAATAATATTATAGACTAATATATTAAGAGACTGATGTATGATATATATATAATAAGAAATTAATTCTATTGATTTATATTTAACGTTGATTTTCTTTTACATTCTGTCTCACACACACACAGTCGTGTTTCTACATATTCATATTTTTCCTTTAAAAAATCTGCAAGTTTATTTTGTTTTTCATATGTTTGAAAACTAGCTCAACAAATTGCATAGTTGAATGTTTGGAATATATACATTATTTTCTCTCTCAAGTGCTCTCAATTTTTTACTTCTATTCAATTTTAAACGATAAAAATGATATGATATCGGGAAAAGACAGAAAGAAAAAGAAATAATGACTGGAAAGTCTCAAGGTACTAAAGGTATTCTAATCTGGATTTTCTCTTAAATACCAATGAATTACAGACAGAATAAGGTGTACCGATTGTATCTACGATGTAATTTTAAATTATTTAATTTATATAATGTCGTAAATTGAATGGCTGTGCTATTATTATAAAATTTGTTGTATTATTCATACAATTAGTAGTATATATTTACGAATACTAAAGTTTTATTTGATATATTTTGACCAAAGTCTCGTACATATCTTACATGTAACTTGAAATACACATGTTATACAAATTATTTTTTAAAAAGTTATCCTATTGTGATATTTCCTTTTTTAAAATAAACAATTATTTTTCCATTAAATAAAAATATTTAAACATAATTTTGAGTGTTTTACAGAAAGTATGTGTAAATTGTATAAAAATCTGAAAAAAATAATAATATTACAAGACTGATATATAATACATAAAGTTAATATGAAAAAAATTACTTCTGCGTTTATTTACCTTTACATTCTATCACAGTTTTGTACCCTTCTTACATATTCATACTGCCATGGTATTTCTCCTTGGAGAGTTAAAAAATAATTTGTGAGTTTATCTCGTTGTTCATATGCTTCAATTGTGGCTCGACGAGCATTGCATGGTTGAATGCCTTGAATATGTACATCATTTTCTCTCCAAGCACCGTTTATTACATCTCCATTATTATTTTCAACATCGATGAAGTTAGGAGGACAATAAACTCTATTATAGGTTGCAGACTGCTGTTCTTCAAAACTTTTTAAAAAGTTATGAAGGCATACTGTACTCAAGATTATTCTATCAACAGTGTTAGGATGCATGCAACTTGAACGTAGTACTCTCCAACGAGAAACTAAAATTCCAAATGCATTCTCTATCGTCTTTCGTGCACGTGATAATCTATAGTTAAATATTTTTTTGTTTTCATTTAAGTTTCTGCCTGAATAAGGTCTCATTAGATTCATTGATAAAGGAAACCCTTCATCTCCAATAAAAAAATATCCAGCTGTTTCATTACTTCCTGGCAACTTTCTCTTTTTTCTCAGCACATTCAACTTTTGTGATCTTAACATACTTCCAAATTCAGATTCATAAAATATACCTGCATCATTTTGACTTCCATACGAGCCGATATCGACTAAGGTGATATTGGTTGATATCACACGCTCTACCAATAGGAGAGCGCAAAACGCCATTAATCCAACCCAGGTTGGTGCAAACCCGGTCGGGCCGAAAACGCTATAAATGTGTTTTTTTTATAGTTGTGGTATAAACTGCCAGAATGTGGAGGAGCTTGAATAACGCAATGTTTGCCATCAAACGAACCCAAACAATTTGAAAAATTCCACTTTTCAAGGAATCCTGCACTAATTCGCATAAAATCTGCTTCAGATGGTGGCTGTAATACTTTAGGAAGTAAAACACTCGAAATGGCTTTAATTGTTTCTTTTATAATAGCACGTGCTGTCAATTCTCCAATACGGTATGCCATTGCTAAGGATAGTACCTGATCACCAGTAGCTAAATATCTAAATTAAAATAATTTAATTTAATATTTTTATTTCATTTTTCTTAAAAATAATGCTGATGTATTATTTAGATATAATTTTTAAGTAATTTTGATCTATAATATTTATATGTTAGACATATTTTTATAACAGTCAATTATTTTAGTAATTTATTTCTGTATTTAACTATTTATGTTAATTAATCATATTATTTTTTATAATGAATGTTTTTATTAATTACACATATTTTTCAAAAATATATTAAATTGGATAAAATACATACAGCAGAACTATATACAGAATATGTATTGCAGAAATATATACAGAATATTAAAGACCATATACCTGAGTGTTAAAGACAAGCGTAGTTCAGATGGCAGAGCTCTCCAGTTTTGTTTTTCAAGTTTTGGAAATACCTTTTCTAGTAAAATATAAAAACATTCGAGTGTTCATTCTTGTATATTTAAAAAACATTTCACTGTCATCCTTTAATTCTTGAAATAAAGCAGCAAAATCTCCTTGTTGACATCGATTTTCATATATAGGCCTCACCCAAAATCTTCTCCGTTTACATTGTTTTCTTTTCAAAATAACTAATAATCCAGACCACAAAGCAATTGTTAGAAGAAAAGTAGAATCGTCCCATATATCATCCATTGCTACAAATATAAATTATATACTTATTTTTTAATAATTTTATTGTATAGAAAAATAAAAAATTTGAAAGGACTGAATCATGTTATAACAAAATTTGATGCACCTTATATCTATATCTATTTGACATTACAGCTACTTACTGTAATATATATGTCTTGGTAATTGTCTCAACTATAAGAGTGCCGTTTTTGGCAGTTCCTCGATAGAATGATCCAGATAAGCTTGTATTAATTGGTCCATAGCCTCCACGTATAGTTTGGCAAGATAATGCAGACAATTTACTGTAATTAAAAAAAACATTTAAAGATCTATAATAT